ACTCAATTAAGCCAAAAAAAAGGTTAAAATCTAGATATATCCATATAAAGTTTTGGAAACAAGTGAGGAAGTCTCGTGGACTGCATCAACATGAATATCATATAAAAGCCAAACGGCTGCAGAATTACGAGCTTTGCCCGTCCACATCCGGTGAGATCAACCAAAGAATCTCTTCTCATTCACTTTCATACGAAAGTGTCAGACACCATCAGAGCGAGGTATCATCGTCACAACAAAATTCAAGCCAACGAGTTTTCTTGACTCGTTAGCTTGAATTTTGTTGCGACGATGATACCTCGCTCTGATGATGTTTGTCATATGACGGACACCGGGATCGAAGGAGATTGCCTCGGAAACAGCGTCAGCATGAATCTTCCAGAAAAGCCAATCGACAGCTGGTCAAGAGAAATCCGCTGTCGTCTTCTGCTGGAACCGACCTTCGAATCTCTTCACTCAACACTTTCAGTCGAAATGGAAGTAAGCTCAACAATTAGTTCCAGTCATATATCAACCTCGAAGCATGTAAGTGTGTCTGTCTCTGTATGTGTATGTGCCTGATGCCCTTAATCCTTTGGGTTAATTCATATGAATTCTTTACTGTATCCGATACGATAGTGATCACATTCTTTAATATAAGGCAAGTGAATATATCCAGTTTTCGTGTTGCTCCGTGCTTGACGATTTCCCCTTCTTATTCATTCATTTCAGTGGTTCTCATAGTGGTTTCAAGAAAGGCCAGGCCTTTTCTTTTATCATATAGGAAAAATAAGTAATTTAGTCTATTGTCATAGCAAATATAACTTTGCCTCATGGGCACTCATGGCAATGTGGCGTAATGGTTAACGTGTCGAGATTACACACTGCACTGTCACGGTTCGAGTCCCGCTGGGGGTGTTGATAAGACCTATTCGAACCAACTTATCCTTAAAAGTTAAACGTTGACTCATACAATTTCAGTTTTAGCAGACATAATTTCCTACAAAAATGGAGATGACTTAACGTTCCAAATGAGCCCGGAATGGTTGCCAGGTCCTCAAAAACCGGACCACACCACCTACAACAATGTTGGACGGTTCTCGATGCTTAATCCTCTTTAATTCATTACTTCCAGAGAGGGATCAAATCTATATTATTATGAATTTCGTAGTGTTGACTTTTAGTTAGCCCGTTTTATATACGTGCCGATACAACACCAATAGTGTCTCCAACAGGATAACAGTTGCCACGGCAGTTGTTTGGGTCGACCTGTACATGCAGCAAATGCCACATAAACAAGTGCTTTGGTACAGATGCCAATATCCAGACGTCAAGACGTGAAGGATATCTTTGCTAAAAATTTAGACCTCATTTTTCTACCCTCTCTGAACCGTATTCATTCGGGGACCCCAGGTCAGCTCGGGCTCCACTCAAGTCGGCCGTCCGAGCCCAATGCAGAAACCGAGATAAATTATGGCCCAATGATTTAAGCAAGACTCAAATGTCAGCTTGATGTCGAGAAAGTGACACATCATCTCTTTATATTGACTTCATCAGGTGATCAATGCTAACGGCAACTAACAGAGACTGTCTCAGAAAGTGTTTGATTAAAAAGGTACTGACTTTCTAGGCTTAAGAGATCGGGATTTATATTGGGACGCCCAATCCGATAACGTTGCCAACCTATACTTTGTGGTCGTCCGATAAAGTGAGTCTGTTGCAGTTCGGCCTCCGTCCTTGGCAGGTCGGTAGGTCGGAACTTCACAAGCTCATATGGTGCCATGTGTCCGGTTGTCACCTAAACTGTGCTGGTCTTGTAGATACGGAGCTTAGCTATGTTTTAATGAGTCTTTTAAGGTAACATTGTTGCGGGACTTTCATTTCATATAAAAGTGCATGATAAAAAGTTTCCTTAGTTGATCTCACAGAAAGTTGATGGCCGATTTTTGTTGTTCTGCAGCCGTTTGGCTTTAATACGGCGTTCATGTTGGCAGTCCACGAGACATCCTCCCTCTTTTGGGGTGGACCCGGACTGAGCTTTCGTTCATTATGTCACATGGCGGGTACCATCAGAGCTGCTACCATTTCTTATACAAGTCTAACACTAACACTAGGTCAAGAAGACTGTCCGGCTCTATTTTACTTTTTATGTATACTCATAACTAAAAACGAAAATATATTGACGTAGACAGATTGATATAGAATAATTTGGTTAGTTCTCTTTCATATTAACGACATTACTTCTACGTCGCTACGAAATACTGATCCCAAATCAGATTAATTACAATAGCCTAACGCCAGGATCTGGTCTCAAGGCAGCTGACTTGGTACATTCTCACACGCTTCGCCGGCATCGCAATCGGCATCATCAGTGAGAGACGTCATCCCTGGCGCAGGCATGCAACCTATTAAAGTGATAATATAAATTATGTCGGAGGTGAATTCACCTCGTCGCATGGCAGCTCCTGTCGAGCAATTTGGCCCTCCATGTTGTCGCGTCTCACCGCCCTCAGCATCTGATCCGCTATTCCCCACTCCCTGGACTGCGTCAACGTCATCAGTCTTTGCATCTGTTCCGGCGAGCAGATGCATTGACCTTTGGCCTCCTCCTCGCCTGTGCAGCCGGCGGATGAGCTTGAGAGTCTTGATGACTTGAGCGCCTGAGTGTTGTCGTTGCCCATTGATAACTCACTCCTTTCACCGGTGGACAATTGTGGCGCACTCGGTTCTGTCAACAATCTGACTCTCTTCACCCTCGTCCGTGAGGTGCCATTCTCTCTGCCGTCAGAAATGTCTTCTACATCCCGTTTGGCCTGTCTCTTAGGCAAGACAACGCCCAGAAATGCTTTGTCTGAACTCTTGTCCTGTTTGATTTCAGGCAAACATCTTATCGCCGTCTCACTCTCATCCGCTAACGCATTTCTGGCCTCCTCTGATGAACCCTCAACAGAACGCGTGTTACGCAACACTGGAATAAAGATTAAATGGCAAAAGAATAAATATTATAACACAAGTTGTGCTGCACTACCACATGCCGGGGGTACTCACGACTTACGAGATGAAATTTCGTGCAGCTTTTACTTGAAAGTGACTTCAGTAGTGCTCGGTCCTGCTGGTAATTGAGGCATGAGCCGACATAGGGCATTCTCGTCTGGAAACAGTCAGGCTAACAGAAAATAATTTTTTTATATAATAAGATATATTCATCAAATTTAGTTTAGGATGAAAAGGGGACTGTTAGTTGAATTTGTATAATGGTATGAGTAGACATGGCGTTTCCATTAAATTCCGCATAGCCTTGCTTCGCAAAATATGTTCTCGTCCAGGATAGATGGCAGTTTCGATCTCGTCTAGATCTTATCAACACCGCCAGCGGCAGTCAAACCATGGCAGTACAGCATGTAATCTCGATACTAAAACCACTAGGCCACATAACCACAAGTTCCCTCGAGGCACAGGGCAGATGTGAATTTCTAGGAAAGACATGAATTTTTTCAAATCACATTCTATAGTGGAAGTGTCGATGTAGCAAAATTATATTTGCTACAGGAATCGATTATGCCACTTATTTTTCATTTCGTTACAATATATATATATATATATATATATATATATATGTCGATGAAGCAAACGTACATGAAATAAGTAACGTAGTCTATTGTTATATTAAATATACGTTTGCTTAATCGAAAATCCTACCAAAGAAGGTGATATGGTAAAAGGTTTGGACTTCCTTAAAATTCACATCTGCCCTGTGACCCAAGTGCACTCGTGCCAATGTGGCCGAGTGGTTAATGTGTCAAGCTTCCATTCTGCACTGTCACAGTTCGACTCCAGTTATGAGTGTTGATAAGACCGATGCGAGGTCGAAACTGCAGCCCACCCTAAATGAGAACAATTTTTGGGAAAGCAAGACTATGTGAAATTCAATGGAAACATCAGCTCTACTCATTTAATTGTAGGGAAATTTTTCTACCAGTCCTTCATCACCTTAAACGAAATTGGGTGAATACATCTGATATTCCAAGATCTAAGACCAGCTTTACAAAAAACGCCCTATTCAAGTTAGTACAATTACATGCGAAGTAAAGTTGGACTTCGAAGAATCTCCCGATTCATAGTCGTTGAGCTTACTTCTACTTTAAATAAAAGTCTGAGACCACACAAAAGGCCACGCCATCTTGGTCTTCATACCTTCGATTAAATAAAAGTGTTTGTTGAATAGATTCGAAGGTCGATCCCACCAGAAGGCGGTGGCGGACTCCTCTCAGCCAGGCGCCTATTGACTTCATTGGAACATTCTTGTAGTGAGATCAACTTTAAAAATACAGTTAAAAGACGACTTGAAATAAAAAATAATGTAATCTTGTTTGAAATTTATCAACTGAACAAAAATTTGTATTCGCTTTTTTAAAATGATAAAGCAAACACAGTTCTTGCTGGTGAACACATAATTTTTGACCTAGCTTTATGCATATATACACATATATTATTATCAACAACTGTAATGAAAAATATAAGATTGTCGTATCGC